GACATTCTTTAAAATAAATAACCTGATTGCATAATGGCACTATAGACGATTTCATTTTTAAAATTAATTTATTTTGCCCGACTAGACAAATAATGTGTAATGAGCAGAAAAATAGTGACAGTGCCAGAACAATATACAGCTCGTGGTAAATTTCGGCGCTTGCACAAAAGTCAATAGAACTCCAAATTAGAAGACATTAAATTTACTTTGATATGTGAGCGTCATTTTAAGTTGAGAGATGCATGTTTATTGATTCAGGAAACATCCGGTTTATTTTTAGGATAGTCTTGTTTTTCTTGTTGTATTGTTTTTGTTTGAAAAACTATTCCCTAGCGTTCCCAGATGATCAGATTTATCAGAATTGTATTATACAAGAGTAAAAAATCATTACATACAGGAAATAATTTTAGACTCGAACCAAAATATGTGTTCAGAGACGGATACGCCGTAAATAGGTATTAAACGGTAGTATGTAGTATAGTGGATTCGAATCTCTTTCAAAAGGTAATGAATGTAGTAGTATAACCTTATTAATTTTAATAAGATCAAATAACGTTGTTAATTACACCGGTAAAATACATAATGTATGTGTTGAGTTATTGAATTATGACTTGATCCCTGTCTCCATATATCATTTTGTTGGCGATATTAAGATCGTCCTTTCAGCAGTCATGTCGTGCCAGATATACAGGTACCCCAATTCTGGTATGGCTTTTATATAGACGTCAAAACAGTCAGTTACGGGATGGCGTTGTCACTCTGTCTTGGCAGGTGGAAGCGAACCATGGTTTGCACTTTTTCGTCTATTGATGTTGTGAATTGCGATATACAAGTTATAAAATTTTGAGAATCAATCGACTTTCTGTTCACTCGTTCGCTAAAAATGCAAACAAGGTGTGGTGATGAAGTTTTGGCGAAATGAACCACAAATGCAACCCACATGTATATACTTGAGTAATTCAGTCGCCAATTCTTATTTTTCCGGAAATTTCCCACTTTTTCAACGATCTTTCTCCAACTTGGTAGGCTTAATCACTAGGGCATTATATTGTTTTTCCTTGACGCCACTTTTATTCAAGTACATTAAGAAAAGTTAATACCCCTTGTTATTTTCATAACGTCAGTTTCAATTGTCTCAGTCTTAATTGCTATGAAATAAACAGCAGTTTCCCTGTATTTTGAACAGTTTCTGCTCCTTGTTATTTTCATATGGTCATTCTTTCTTTGAAATCTTCATTTTAATCGGTTTCCATGACATTGTAATACACATAAGATTCTCTGATAGCTAAATCTATTCATCAGTTTGAACCGGTGAAATATTGCATGGCATTAACGACTGGTTTATATACCAAATCTACCAAAAAAGACGTTTGGCTACATCAAACAATGTTAAGACTGGGTTACATATTACAGTTGTGGATATTGATAGTCTACAACAGTTAGATTAAATCATCCAGCTTAAACCTCACATTTTCAAAGAAATTACGGCAACACAAATACACAAGGGAACAGTGTTGAAACATTCGGTTATTTTTCTGCTTATTTCCACTGACGAAAAGGCACCAGACCAAATAGAGAGAAATGGAACTCGTCTGTATTTGAAATAGAAAACTGGCAAATTGTGCATTGCCGCGATACAAGTATAAATGTGTCTCCCTTCATTAATGTATTTCATTACTTCTCGAGAAACAGAGGATGACAAACTTCAACTGCAAACAATCACGATGATCACCTGTCAGTCATGCATTTCCCGATCAAAATTGAATGGACACAACTATGGACCAAGACATCCTACACATAAGATTTTAGTACCAGTTCAGTACTTCAAACAATATCGATTACAAAACTCATCTGCAAAATGATTGTGCGAAGAGATAATAGAGAATAAAATAAAATTAAGGAGCAACTAAATGTTTAGGTGACCTTCACTCAGCAAAACATTACATTTCAATAATGAATAAAAAGCCAAGTTAGAGCTTTAAACATTCAAATCAACATTCACATGACAATCACATTTGATCGACCAAATAACTACCGTTTGGGATATCCTTATGATGTAGAAAACATCGACAATTCAAATAAAAGTAAAAGAAACCATTGGCATATCTTGATAATGTGGAGTTAAAGGAACACCTCTCACAATTCGAAAAACTGGAAAAAACCAATAATTGGACTTCTAATCAAAAGTTCTTTATCAAGCAGAGTTTATTACTGGTTGTGCAATGGCCTTCTAATGGAACTTGAGCCTTCAACCAGAGAAAACTGGCAAAATACTGAACATTAAGTAGAGCGTAAAGATAAGAAATAAAACAAGCCCGCCCACAGACAAGAGACATGGAGAGAAATGAATACGTGAGTTACATGCAGGTATTCAACACGCAGCGACAAATTAGTATATGTTATTATTGACTAACAAATTCATCTCTGTCAACTGAACAACGACATGGTAACAGTCAATGGGAACAAAGTAATGTCGAAACTTTTGCCAGATGCGTATTGCAAAAACTATTTGTATCATACAGTTACAAAACAAAACGGTAAACAACCCAGTGCCTGGAAATCTAACGAAAAAAAGTAACTATAAGCGGTTATCAAGGGAAATACCCCCACCTCCCCCAAATAATTCTCAGTTCAACAAACCTCATCAAAGTGGTAACCTCCAAATATCTCACGATTAAAATCAAGGAAGCAGAAAAACAAACAGCCCAAGCAGTGGCTGAAATTATTAATTAATTAATTATACAAACATATATATAATACACAGACGTGGATTATCGGATCGTATGCTTTGATTTATATTTCGAAATTCGGCGATTTTTCGACAGAGGAACAAGAAGATATTCCTTCACTTTAGAATGGTGTATGGTTGTGTACAGAATGAAAAAAAAAAAAGTATCCTGATAATAGAAATGTTTTCAAGATTGTTCAAGAGCTCTTCGGAGTTCTTTGGAATCAACTGGTCAGTAATTCCTCTTGAGCAACAGCATGAATGTAATACTAATCCTGCTTTAATAGTACTAAGGGCGGTAAAAAGAAGCACTGGTAATGATCTGGTTAAACAAACTATACTCAAAGCACTAAGAGCAAGTGGTAACCCTGTGTGTTTATTTACTGTACGCGCTTCATAAAAATAATGAAAGCTTGAGTGTGTGACGATGTGCAAAACCGTGACACAACGTTGGTCATTACCGCATCAGAAATGACTATGAATTATTGTTTTTTTTTCTCTAAAATATATAAACAATTAAGTGAACACAATCCAGATAAGTGCCGAATTCATGGGAGGCCATACTATATTGTAGAAGAACAAATAGATCTCGTCAATGTTTACACGGAGTTGGAGGACTGTGTGCTTGTTTCCTGGAGTCCTGCGCTTTCCCACAAAGACCGAGCTGGGGAGCTGTTCCTGTAGAACTGGCAGAGCTTTGTTAACAATGCAGTTCAGTAATTTGAAGAAAATTTCACAAAACCCCCAATAAGATCAATAACGGACTGACCAATGTTCGCAAATTTTGCAGCGTGTTTTTTCATGCCTAAAAAGGACGATATAGAAAACCAAAGGATGTTTCACGAATGTTATTTGTAGTCTTATCATCCATCGACACGTCACAAAGGTGATATATGTAAAGGTTATCCCATGATTAATTCAGATACTGCTTCTCCCATAACTTGTAAAACTGACCTTTATCCGGCAATTAGCCCACCTATTTGTATGCATTTTACCAAACAAAATGCATGGTCTTGGTAGTGTTTTGATAATTAGTTTTTTTCGAATTTTTCTCTGTTGTATATCTTCTGTATAGAGTTGTTTCTTGTTATTTGATTAGAAGAACAACGAAAATAAGCCAATCCATTCAACATATTTTTAAAATATAAATAAATGATAAAATAGATAAAAAAAATTACAAGGTGAGTTGGCACTTATATAGATGCGTTCCCGTTCCATTCAATCTTTAATTTTTAACTAGATCTATAAATCTATTGTTGAAATACTCATAAGATACCTTGCACACTATTGTAAGTATTGAACTTTTATTTCAGATGTGGTCGACGGTGACTTTTAAACGTGACCTATGTACGTTTGTTTGATTCTATAGTGATTTTTTTTATATGTTTGTGTAAACAAATCAAGACGGTATGTAGTGTTGTTTTTGTATAGTATCATAAAGCCTAATTCACAGTCTCCATGTCGACTCTCTACCAGTGAGAAATGATATCTTCCAATAAACCTCTCTTTTTTCAAAGGTTGGCACTTAGGTAATTGCGGATATTTCTTAATATTGCTGATGTTTTTGTGGTGTGACTGGGATTATTCATAAGCTGTTTTACCTATATTTGTGTATATGAGTTTCCTTCTGTTGAAATGCCAGGATTTTGCCCGCAATTCGACCGAAACATCCTTTGGTGAAGAGAAATCAACTTGGGTTTTTTTTTCATCTTTCTAATTTACGACATAGTTGACAGCTTTTGTCCGGGGAGATCTTCAATTTGTTTGTGATTAATGATATTGATGAACCTAAAATAGATGTTTTAGAAAAAGGCAAAAGATTTCTACTTAAAACAGGAAGTATTCATTACATATACAACGTAGTATTGCTAACACGTGATATTTGATAAAAGGTCTAGCTTTGAATAATTGTATATAATACGGTTTTTCTGTGATGTGAATACCAGAAACACATTCATATACTGTAACAGTAGTTATAAATTGGCGCATTTCCTCTCCGAAAGAGGAAATATCCTTAATCTACATTGTTGATGGTGTCAAGGACACCACGATATTTTTACTTGAGTGACGTCAAACTAACTACAAGATCAGCTAATGGTAGTCTGTGAGTCTTAACAGAGGTGTAACTGTGGCTGTTAAGGAACGACAACTCTGGAAGATATTGTATTCAACATTTTATTTTTCATATCGTGAATGAAGACACAAAATGAATCCCATGAAGTAGTTATATCAGAATAATGCACAAAATCTGAAAACAAAAATAGTTATATATTCAGGTCATTTCCATGGCTGTATATTCGTTGGCGTCATAGACGCAGATTTCACTGTTAAGATGAATACCACCACTCCCTGTCAGGTTAAACCAAGCTAATTGTAATAGGGACGTGTCACGTGAATCTTCGGACATCCGGTACTGTTCTCTATACTTAGGTTCCACTGGACACCAGGTCAACATCGGTGATGAGGTCTTGCGCAAGCGCTTTGAAAGTAATGTTATTATGATAATTACTATGTTTCTGTAACATATGACATAGTATAAATGATGTAAAGATATTTTGAAATTTCAGTCAATTGTGGGCAGATAGTACAAAACCAAGACCATTGTTCAGAAACAGTGAACAAAAGTGAAACTGGCGTCGTTTTCCGTACATCAACATAGAAAAGTATCGAGATTACAGTAAAACTTCGCATCTCGTGTCGTCTTACCGAATAAGCATTGAAGAGACAAAACCATATTTGATGTCTCCATTGCAATTCCTGTATTTCGTGATTATTTTTTACTATATTTCTTTTACTTTACTTTCTACTCTTGATACAGATATATACAGGGTATGCATTTGGCTGTTGCGAGGACGTTAAACCTAAAACACCCGATAAACACCCGATTTATGTCAACTGAACTTTTTTGCATTGGAATACTACCCAACATAACAAGTGAAATTTTAATTACTCCTTCAAGGGATATTCAAATTTAGACTGTACCATATGTGACTGTTTTAAGTGTTTTTCTGCTTCTAGGAACGTGTTCCTGTCGCCTGTTGCCTACCTGAGTCAATGTCCCCGACGTCTTTAGAAGCAGTACTATAAACATTACAAAGAAAGGCAGGACGGTGGCTGTGATCAGCGTCCATCCTAACACGTTACAGTAGTCTGGATAGATATAGGTGCCGTAAGTAGGAGGACGATATGAGAAAAAACTGATCACCAGCAACATCTAGGAAAACAAGAAAATACCGACATTAACAAACGAAATATTTATACAAGGACCTGGTCTTATTGTCCTTGTTGATCTTGTTTCGCGCTACATCATATCAAGCAATAAACAGGGGAACGTGTACTTTTTTTCATTCCCTTCGGGAATTTTAAAAATAAAAAAATGATTAAAAGAAGGTGAAACACAGGAGGGTTGGTATTCTGATAAAACAAACCGAGTGTATAATAACAAAACATCTCTAAAATGACATCAATGTGCTAACTAGGTTTCTAAATCACGTGAACATGGACAAACAAACCTCAGTAACAGTATTGTGATATGAAGCAAAGTGATATGGGAGTATATGGATGTAGTCTATGAAATGCTGTAAACAGCAAGCGTGGTCCACGGCCGAACTGTTGGAGCGTGGAACACGTCCTATTGTAGCAGCTGTGCAGTGTAGACTGACGAACGTATGTGCTGACATGAACCATTCTATGAGCGGACAGTGAACTCGTCGTCTAACAATCACAACAATACCTCGATGTTCAATGTTAAGTCTTGGCGAACTAAATGATCCTGTCATTATCCCTTAAATGTGTAAATGTTTACCAATAAAGCCAAGGGGGTGATGTAGGCACCACTAACTCGAATGAAAGCCGGAAGTGGACGTCCAAACATCATGAAAGCGTCTCGGCTGACCCGGTCACCTCCTTTAAAAGAAAATTAGTATATTATCATTTGTCTGTTTAATCTTCGTTTGACATGGTACTGTAAGACCTGTAACAAGAATCTCGAATACAAACTTTCATTCGTCACTGATGCTAATGTAAAAAAAGCATAACGTCTGTGCTAAATGAAACGTTTAAGAGACACAGATTGTTTAACGTAAGTAACTAAATAACCAACCAAATTTGATTGTGATATGGGAAGTCGATTAAAGTGAAAAATTTAAAATACCGTATTTTTATTACGACACAATTGAGCAATATTCAGAAATCTGAATTAGGGAAATCAACCCACTGTTTATGTCATCTGTGTGTATGTGGGGCATCTGAGTGTTGTGCAGTAGTTAACCGATCATACTTGCCATATATCCAGAAGAACACAAAGGATTCCAAGAGAGCATTGGCCACCACACTAAACGCCGCTCCGTACCAGTCCATCAGTTGGAAAATGTACGCCCCGGCCTTACCGGTGAAAATAAAATAAAATAAAAATATGTCTTGCAATGCATATGTTAATTCATAATCACGTTCTAAGTTTAAATCAGTTGACATTATTTACATGTAATGATCTGACAGATAACAAAATTATTCCGATAATATCGACTTTTGTCCAGTAGGCCTATATGCTTACTCTTGTGAGGAAGGGAATCTCGAAAAGGAACACGACAGTTGTAATTACTGCTAACACTATTAGTCGGCGCTTCCGCAGCCTCGGAAATGCCTCCTCTAAAATGTTCATCATTGGCTCGAATGTAACGGTCTGTAAGAATAGAATGTAGAAGACACATTTAAATGGATTAAAATTTGTGATTTAGTCTACGAGATCCATCAGGTTTAAGCGAGCATTACACCACCAGGAAAAAATCACAAAACTGAGTGAAACTGCAAACTAAGGTTGATTTAAGTACTTTTTTATATACCTGCATGTCCATTCCGGGCATCAGCAAGGCTAGGAAGAACAGTACAGCCCACACCTGAGAGAATGGTAGGTAGGTTAGGGCCTGGGGATAGGCAACAAATCCTAGAGAAAATCCGCCTGGAGGTAAACAGATCAAAATTTATATCTATTTTGCATATAAATACACAAGTGTGATTTCGATTCAAATCTGATTAAAATATCTATAAGCGACATGTATCATATGAAAATGTAAAAAAAAAATTATTTGTTGCCTTCGGAGGGAGAGATGGAAATGTTAAACTATAAAGTGTATTTTTTATGGTTACGTGTTTAGGCCTTCCTCGCAACAGCAAATATCTTATGAAAACGGATGTTAAGGGAGACACTATCACCACATCAAAAGCAAAACTGACAGTGAAGTGCTGCAATGGAGGACGAAGTCTACGCCATACTGTGAGATACAGCAGATTACATTCTTTTCTCGTGTTTCGCAAGCTTGATTCCCCAATGGCAGTTCTAAAGTGCTTTTATGATGTGATAGACAGAGAGGTGAAAGATATTATCTATTGTTACAGATATTATCTATTGTTTCAAGCTTTAAAGTGCATCACTTATTAATTCACGGGAATAGGTCAATGATGAGAAAGATTTACCGGAAGTAATTATTTCCTGAACAGGGATTCCAGACTCTTCGGCCATAACGCCAACAACGGCAAACACAACCAGACCGTTCAGCAATCCAAACAGTAGAACAACTACAGATGTAATAGTGACGTCACTGAAACGACAGAGAGTGGCAGTAACAACCGAGAAATTCGATTTACAAATACATTTCTTAATACACAATAAAGATTGTCCCGATTTTCAACGTAAATGTGATATAAAGTTGATGAAGTTTATAGGGAAATTTTACGGTTGTGACGACCTCACGAAAGTGACATTACTTGATTCAATTGACCAAGATTTACAGGGCGGTAATATCCGAATAAAAAGCAGAAGGCGCTTCCCTTTCTGGAACACTTCGTCTTATCATCCTTATACCTTTCTTATGGGTCTGAGTGTTAAGTTTTCCTCTTGTGAATATTTTGCCCGTTCTTTCATCGAATTTGATTTTAAGTTAAGATTCTCTCAACATATCTTTGGGATAATATTCATACATGTTTATTTTCGTAGACCCAGCCCCTCGTGTAAGCATTTCTAATGATTGTAATTGTTCATGATCAGTAAACTATTTTATTTTTACATTTTACCATAAAGCTCTCCAGGTGCCAGAACGATGTACGGTTATTGTCTCTGTCGTTATAAACTTGTCATAGAATTGCCAAGCACTAATAGTTGTATATACACATATACTACATGTAGATACTGCTGGTTGACTATTAATCCCCGATGTTTGTCATAACTAGCAGGTCACATTTTCACTCATTCTAATTGTGGCCCGGTTCAGAATATACTCATGTACTTCTTTTAAAATCAAGGAGAAAACACCAACATGTCAATATAATCATGATTCAAAGTCAGATTTACTGAAAGTAGAGCAAAAGAAAATTATGGAAAAAAAAAAAAAAAAAAAAGGAGACTCCAGAAAAAGTAAGAGAAGTATAAGACCAGATGGTAAACGTCATGTTAACCTTGTTCAATCTGTGTTAATAATGTCACGTTCTCAAGTAAAACTAAGGTATATACCAACGGAACAATAGACAAACTGACCAGCATCAAACAAGTCCAGTCTTATATCGTACAAAGACGTAGAATGCATGTATCTCTCTATGTCATCATTGTGACGACCGTGATATCAGATATGAAAATTACAATCATAACTGAATTATGGAGCTATCGCACCTCTCTATCTAGATTTTGACATTTCTATCGATAACTTCGGATTTTGCTCAGTTTCCTCCTAGGTTAAACGTGTACGCTGTTAGTATCACTGACGAGTCGTCGAAGGACGAAACAACTGTATGATACATATTAATTAATTCTTTGGCTCTACTGTATCTTATCATAATGTACTAAAGGGTGTTATACATTTGCATGCGTTTGTACAATCACCATGTATGTTGCTGTATTTGTTTGTTTTGACACCGATAAAGAATAAATCTCTATACTCTACTGCGGCACGTGACAATTTACCGGGATAACATATTCATACGTCAAGATATTCTCGTTGAATTTGTTGTGACAGCCAAACGTTGCCAGTCCTCCCCAGCCTGGACCCAGTGTGTAAAATGCCATGAATCCGGCCTCTATCCATACCTTAAAGAATGGCAATAGACGGGATTAATATATCCCTGCATTCAAGGAGCAGTAAATAAGACATTGAATGAAATCATATCTTTATCAAAATATATTTCTATTTTATCACTGTTGCAGTAACAATAAATTTGACCTTAGACAAATCGAAAGTACAGACATTGCAGACACAATTGTCTGTTCAGACTCATTTTCAGAACTTCAAAGTATAAGAACCGGAATGTTTAAGAACTATCTCATGTACGACGTTGTGTTTTGTATCCACAAGATTTTACTACCAGCACGTCACCAATTATATTTTGGATCCATGGTTATTTTGGAATTAATGAAAATGAGAACGTTCATAAAGCTACCAGCGTTTACCTTATACCCAAACAATGTCAGTCTTACTCCGATTTTTAACCAGTTACCATAACTTTTATCAGAATGAACCGGAAAATAAATTGGTACCAAACAGTGAAAATGCTCCGTTTCATTCAAGAAAATGTGGATATAATGTGCTACCATGAAAGCAAATACCGAAGCAATTGTAATTTCAAATTTGATACACATCTATACCACACATGTGCGATTATTGCCCTGCTATAGACCTTCAGCATTAGACATGGTATACTTTACACACAGTGCGTAAGGTGCAAGATTTTAAGAACTTATCAATTTAGGTTTAGCTATTTCTTTTCGTTTGTTTTTTTCCCTCGCTTTGTTTGGCCCTAAAGTGCTCTTACTGTTGATTGGCCATACAACATTGACCGTGTTACTATAAATGTTATTAATTGTACTACTTTTCTGTCTCGGATGATAAATATGCATGTAAGTGTGCGAGAATGCGAGAAATGCGATTTCATAAACACTAGATACAGTTATACCAGAAGATTTCTGTTCGTCAGTGTCTCAATTGAAGCCACAATGCTATATAAGATTAAAATATTTGCAAAGACCGACCTTAATGTAATAAAAATGTGTTCAGATCTTATAAGATGGTGATCGCTAAGTATGAAGAATTTCCTACACCTGCTACAATTATGTTGAAAGAGGAAGATAGATAAATGGAAGTGTCTATTGAGCAGAGTGCTTCCTATTAGAAAGTTAATTGAAATCTAGTGTAATGTGTTATATCTTATTACATTGTCCTCGTGAAATATGGTATCAACCTGATACAAATATACAGCAAATCTTCATCACATTTCAACTCTTGTTGAGTTTCCACCAATCAAAGCAGTGCTTTCTAGTCAATATATTGAAATTCGCCGATTTTTTGGTGCGATGGCAAATGAAGGATGAAAAAGTTTTGTCCAAATTTGTGTTTAGTATTTTTCTGTGAGTTCATACGTTTTGGAAGAAATCAATGGGGACCCATTAAATGGCCTTTACATGTCACACTTATGTTTGGCTTTGTATCATGTAGTTTGATGAAGCATGTATGCCTTTTGAATACATTTGAATAGTGACATTTGCATTTGTAGAATACACACGTGCTGTGTTGAAACAAATCAATATTGAAAAATTATTGAATTGACAACTGAGCAAGCGCAATTCCTAGTCTTAATTATGATATTCATGTTGACAGATTTAAAAAAAAAATTCTCGGTGCCTTTTACGTTTCAACGCTTCCGGTCAGTACCAACACTGATAAGTCCTAGAAAAACGACATTGCTGTGTTATACAATAATGTCCTTTAATTGGCTGTAGTTCTTCTGTAAATTAAATCAGATCTATGATGAAGTAAGATTATTTTATCTAGTTTACATTGAATTATTTTATTGTATTGAAATTTGCGATTTCGCTTCACACCATGGTGTTGGATGTAATTACAGTGTAACGGGAATGGGTACTTACCTTAGAGTTTGACAGCACGGAGAAGTCCGGAGTGATAAAATACGCCATACCTGTCATGGCACCAGGTATCAATAGGGCTCGGATCCAGATAACAAAGACCAAAACGATCGGAAGTAAAGCAGTCACATACATCACCTGTAATCCATGAAATCACACGGATTCAACGATTTCCGCACTTTAGAGAGAGAGAGAGAGAGAGAGAGAGAGAGAGAGAGAGGGGGGGGAAGAGTCATCCATATTTTGATGTTATTTTAAAGTTGTAAAATTATGAGGCTAATGTACCTCCCAATATAAATAAGGCCATTTCTTTCAATCACTTTGGATTTTCCCCTGTAATTTCTTAGGGTTGAACTTTAGGCCCTTAGAATCACTGACGAGTCCGTCTGTCCGTCCGTCCTAGAATGACGTAACAACTGCATGATACAGTTTAATTTAAAGTTTGACTCGTCAGAATCGAACCTATATTTTTATTAATTGTTGATATTCACTTGTGTGTCTTTTGTACAATATCAGACACCTACAACTTCCTGTTAAAATAGGAATTCTTTGATACAGATATAAAGGTTGAAGTCCCTGGTATGCAACTGCACTGTTGAAAAAATAGAAATCCCTTAGTACATTGAGTAAACGGTTTGAAAACTAACCTTTCCAAAGGACTTGACACTTTTCACCAGTGAGAGGTAGACGAGTATGTGAGTGACGATGAGGTATAGAACATACCTCGAATTGACAGGTCCCACATCCTCAATACCAGAGGACAGGTCTAGGACGTGATATCTACAGCAAACAAGGCAATTCTTGTCATGTCAAACAAACTCTATTCTCATAAGCAGCTCAAAGAACAAAGAAAGAATTCTTCCAACTTAACTCCCTCCATTGTTATGCTTGTTTTCTGATACCTACACCTCTAATTACGATTCCTTAACCGTAAATACATGTACACTCACAACCAGCGGCTCATCAGTCATCCCGTATTTAACAAGAGAGAAGACGTATTTGAAAATAAAATTGTCATAATTAGATTACACAGAAAAGGGCAACATTTCAATACTGATTGAAAAATGATAGATTCGACGAAACAAGTTAGAATAAATATGAAATCTTTTCTAAAGGAATTGTAAACAGACAAGAATGTTGAAATGTGTTTTTCTTAAAGTCCCACGAATATCTATCCAATAGACATTACTTTTCATACTCTGTATTTTGGTAATAATGTTCATAGGAACAGACATGCTATTCCACAATGTGGGATTGTGTCTGTACATATATACTCTATTGGTGACTTACTGCCAAAACTCCTCCGCCGCGGATATACTCTCTGTAACAATGGATGGAGACAAGGACATTCCCGTCATATTGCTTAAAACTGCTGAAGATGCATTCTGTTAACATAATGGAGACAATTCAGAGTTATATGTAAATTAAAAGAATTGAGAAGCAAACATGCCAATCTCTGAAAACATTCGTTAGATTTCTGTCTTATTTGGTACCTAGGCTTTTAAACGATTGGAAATGATATTGTACAAATCTGTTAGTGTTAGCGGAACCTGTCATTTTGTAGGCTCGAGAAACATTATATAAATGTAACAATAGACTTTTAACAATTTGAAAAGCATTTATCAAAAGAGAGCATGAAAATTAAACACACACGCACAATGTTTTTTGACGCATGCGCTTTGCATGAAGTTGATTACCAAACCACATGAAACAAGGAAGTGACTGATATTTTACATTACTTGTACTGATATACAGAACACTAATATGTCGTCCACAACTTACTATTGTAGACAAGTTATGCATAACACTTGTAGCTATTTGGACTTCAACACATCGGTCAGTGTTCCACGTGTTATTACAGCTTGACCAAGGTAGCGTTGACCGGAAGGAATTGACCAGGAACTCGATGGTCCAGGCTCGCATAGTGGGATAGATGGACATACTGACTCCTCCCAAAATGAACATCGTTATGCATATACCTACAGAAATATACAAATATATTAACATCCGCAACCGACAATACTCTTAACATTTCATTAGTTACCATACCAAATGTAACATACATATAGAATTGCTACTTATATACTAAACAAAAAAAGAAAGGTAACACTACTTTATTCTGTGATTAATCAATTAACCCCTTCATAAATCCTTACCAATCATGTACGAATAAAGTAATTGATCAATTCTGATAAAACTGCAGTTATGGTTCATTATAAAACTTTGCGTTCAGTTGATTTTATTCGACTGTAAAGGACGTTACGAAGTAAACAGCATTGCAGCGTCGTCGCATGGAACTCGTAAACCGGCGGATAATTCGAGGAGAGATGTTGTTCCATTCAGCGATCAAGGCTTGGGCCAGCTCCTGCAAGTTTGACGGTTGATTTTGACGTTCTCTCTCGCGTCGCCCAAGAACGTCCCAGACATGCTCAATCGGTGACAAATCAGGTGATTTAGATGGCCAATCTAAAACCTGTACGTTATTCTGCTGCAAGAAAGTTCTGCTGACGCGACTGGTGTGCGCTGGTGCGTTATCCTGTTGAAAAATGGCGCCAACGCCATGGCAGAACAACTGGTCTTAAAATTTCGTCCCGATAATGAATGCCGGTTAAATTGCCATTTAACACAACAAGCCTGGTACGAGTCCCCCCACAAATACCACCCCAAACCATTACACTTCCGCCGCCAAAGCGGTCCCGTTCTGCGACGCAACAGTTCGCAAAACGCTCCCCTCGTCGCCTCCACACTCTGCGCATTCCGTCACCGTGTTGCAGACAAAACCTGGACTCATCTGAAAACAGAACATTGTTCCATTGTCGTAAGACCCAACGACGGTGAACACGGGTCCAGTTACGCCGATTATTACGGTGACGTCGCAACAAATTGGGTCCAGTGTAGGGACGCCGCGCTTTCAATTGGTAGGCCCTCAGCCTGTTGCGGACTGTTTGGGGAGACACACGACGCCCAAACAATGTCCTTGTAGTCTCTACTGCGGTTACGAATCGATTGCGCAAGTGTATCAATCGTATACGACGGTCATCCCTGGCGGTCGTTTTACGGGGTCGGCCGCTTCGGGGACGATCGGATGTTGACCCAGTTTGGTTTAAACGACTTACCAACTGGCAAATTGTCTTAACACTGCAACCAAAATGCCGTGCAACTCGACGGCGAGACTCCCCAGCCTGGATCATGCCTACAGCCCTTTCTCTCTGTACTTGTTACAGCCGGGGCATAATGATAAAGTTGATAGATAGCAAGATTCGGTGATTTCTAAGTCCTAAGGATCTAAGGAACAGTTGTCAGTTTGAATGTTCATGAAATTCAAGCGAAGATACAAGTTAGTCGAGGAAAACCTCGTGTAGCTCTTTCGCTATTACAGACTTTCACGCTTGAATGATTTTGGTAACCCCCCTGGATTTTGTAATGTAAAACATTACCATTTTCTAATATTGCACAAACGTCATTTTGTTTTCACTCATTTACAGGTATTCGCCAAGGAAACATGTTAACCTTTCTTTTTTTGTTGAGTATATATGTACGACAGTATAAGAAAAAAATGTTTGCAAAAAACTAAAAACATCAAACAACATCAAAACATGAGGAAGAGAAAGAGTAGGATCTTCTGCTTGGTCGACATCTCCCACCACGTCAGTCCGAGTAAGTCATATACCCTTCTCAAATGAGAATCGGGTTGATGGATACGAAACTGCCTGGCAAACTATTTAACCGAAGAAAGTTATGTGATGAATTAACAGTTGACGTATGATTGGTCTGGTAACCAAGGACTGACTTTGGACTTGATATGATGATGTCTAAAACTGGTTATTTGACGATCGGGTCGAATGGTGTTAAATGTAAACTTTATTTACTTCATAACAATTGCGAAACAAGTTTTATGCATACATCAATCTCTATAGGGGTCTTACTATGGAAGGAAACCGGAGTACACGGGAAAAGCCCACGTGGTCGCCCAAGTGACCCCATACCTTTTCAGGTCCGTGTCGGGAATCGAACTCCGGACGTCTTGGTGAAAAGCGGGTGCGTTACAATTGTGTCACCCAACCACCCGAATGGTGTTCCTTTAAGTAATACCGATAAATTCTCTATCATGACTTAGCTAACATTAGAACATGGTTTAAATGTTTCAGAAATCCAGACAAGAACATCAACTCACCTCTAAACAGCGGGGCGAAATCCCATACCCTGTAGAGTCCCTTTCCGGAGAACTGTGACATCTCGATCTCCATATAGTAGAGAGGCAGGCCACAGAGCAACAACATCGTGATGTACGGGATCAGGAAGGCCCCTGAAACAAATGGTTACCAGCGATTCAAATACGAGAATTCCTTAACACTTACATTATTTAAGTCACAAAACACATAACTGTGGTACATAATCAAGGAACATGCCGAAAACATCGATGTTATAATTCGTTGATTTATCTATGTTAAATCCTAGCCATTGGCCAATATGAAATTCCTTACTCTCCAGAAAGGAAACTTGACTAACATAAATGATATAAGTAGTCAGGACTTAAGGTTGTATGAAAGTCATAATTCAATAAAAAAAAATTCCAACTTATAACTTTGACATCGGCTGTTTTTTTTTATACTTTGTGACCAATAATTGTACTTATAAGATAGAGAATGTTTTGTTTGTGGACTATTTTTTACGGCGGCGTCATCCGGCGAATAACGTCACCAGTTTCAACGTGTTTCTGTTGCCAACGCAATTCTCTGGAGTATAAATTGGAACTCTTCATAAGATTTCCATAAAATATATATATAACGAAAATGGCTTATCAATCAGGCTTATATTCGGTAACTTTTACAAAAAAAAGTATGAATTTGTTGTGGTTTTTTATCGTATATCTTGACCTTAAAGATTACCGTTACGTACTATTCTGAGATACACGAGAATTGATGTCATATATAAACAGCTGTAATGTGACAATAGCTCTGTAGAGTTCACGAGAACTGATGTCATATATAAACAGCTGTAATGTTAAATAGCTCTGTAGAATTCTCTTTTCCACAAACATATGTATAAACATGACTATACAGATATCCAAACAATGTCTACCAGGAAAGGTCGCACAAAAGCAGTGGTGATTTCTTTGAGTTTCATTTATTTATTTACATATCTATTTCAGTCGATTTTCATTTTATGTCCCAGGCTATGAAGTCCTGTGTGTCAGCCTTTGCCAATATCTGCATACCAATCAACTGCCATTCAACTGTAACGATTCATATCGAGCCTGGATTATATGATAGCAATACTATCATATATCATAGAAATTGAATATCCGATAGTGTAATGTTGGATCCTGGGTTCATTAAATTCACAATTTTGGTAAAGTACTTAGGACCTTTGATTTATGAGGAATGATCAATTCATACAGAACCGAAAAAAAATTGGATAGAAAAGGAAAAACAGTCAGTAGGGACCATTATAGTCCACTGGTGGTCAGTCAGTAGGGTCCATTATTCAGTAGGGTCCATTATGGTCCACTGGCGGTCAGTCAGTAGGGACCATTATAGTCCACTGGCGGTCAGTCAGTAGGGTCCATTATTCAGTAGGGTCCATTATAGTCCACTGGTGGTCAGTCAGTAGGGTCCATTATGGTCCACTGGTGGTCAGTCAGTAGGGTCCATTATGGTCTACTGGCGGTCAGTCAGTAGGGTCCATTATGGTCCACTGGTGGTCAGTCAGTAGGGTCCATTATTCAGTAGGGTCCATTATAGTCCACTGGTGGTCAGTCAGTAGGGTCCATTATTCAGTAGGGTCCATTATAGTCCACTGGTGGTCAGTCAGTAGGGTCCATTATTCAGTAGGGTCCATTATGGTCCACTGGCGTTCAGTCAGTAGGGTCCATTATGGTTCACTGGTGGTCAGACAGTAGGGTCCATTATTGGCCACTGGTGGTCAGTCAGTAGAGTCCATTATTGTCCACTGGTGGTCAGTCAGTAGGGTCCATTATGGTCCACTGGTGGTAAGTCAGTTGGGTCCATTATAGTCCACTGGCGTTCAGTCAGTAGGGTCCATTATGGTCCACTGGCGGTCAGTCAGTAGGGTCCATTATGGTCCACTGGTGGTCAGTCAGTAGGGTCCATTATGGTCCACTGGTGGTCAGTCAGTAGGGTCCATTATTGTCCACTGGTGGTCAGTCAGTAGGGTCCATTATGGTCCACTGGTGGTCAGTCAGTAGGGTCCATTATTGTCCACTGGTGGTCAGTCAGTAGGGTCCATTATGGTCCACTGGTGGTCAGTCAGTGGGGTCCATTATGGTCCACTGGTGGTAAGTCAGTAGGGTCCATTATGGTCCACTGGTGGTCAGTCAGTAGGGTCCATTACAGTCCATTGGTGGTCAATCAGTAGGGTCCATTACAGTCCACTGGTGGTCAGTCAGTTGGGTCCATTATAGTCCACTGGCGTTCAGTCAGTAGGGTCCATTATGGTTCACTGGCGGTCAGTCAGTAGGGTCCATTATGGTCCACTGGCGGTCAGTCAGTAGGGTCCATTTTAGTCCACTGGTGGTCAGTTACAGACAGCAGTTTGTAAATTATCACTTTACTGGTCTTTACCAAAAAAATGACTTATGTATGTTAAGTATGTCCAATAGTTTAAGGTTATGGGGAACAATGTACTTTACACTGTTTTTTTAAAAACGAGAAAGTAAATTTTCCTCCTTCACCGCGGAAAATGCAAACTCCTACGGTAAAGGAATTCGCCGTTTTGGAAAAATACTCTAAAACACCTTTCTATCCATCAAGCATGTGTTTATTTAATTTTTAAAAATTAGTTTATTTGGCCCTGTTTGTCCCATCAATGAGGTCAGATCGGCTCGGATTGAGCACAATTTTACATAAAAAAATTCAAAACCAAATTCAAAATGAAATGTTTACAAAGAAAATTAAACAGATTATACAAAAATATTTACCACGTCGGTAAAGTATCGCCTTTTGAGTACACACCAGGGTTAAATGATAGGCGTTGAGAATGATGAAATTAACAATTTCGAAAGAGGACTTTAACACATTTGATTCATGAAGAGTTTTTATCATATCTGGGTCCTCAGGAGAGAATTTAAAAAACAGTTTCAATAAATTTGACGCCTTTTGCCATATGGGTCAGCAAAGGTCAAGTAATACATGTACGTGCGATCATGAAAGTTGAAGTTGAGGTTAAGGATTGTACACACTATAGTTCTCATTGGGCCGTGGAATGTTTCCACAACTTTTTATTAAAAATGGATAAGAAGTTGAAAACGTCCATTGCTTGAGACATGAATACATGACAAAATGAATGACGAATTAAATAACGGATATAAGAGATTCTGTGAATAAAGCGATTTCATTGGGAAATATTTTATTTATCACCTTAGTGGTATTTGAACTCCGTTAGTTTCCCTGTTAGTTCCGTTGTACACCTACTTGGATTAACCGACATTTACATGGCGGGTGTCAACGATGAAGCATATGACGCTCACTTTTCCGGAACACCTAGTCTTATCCTCCTTGAACTTTTACATGAGTTTCCGCGTAAAGCCTTTTTTTGTACATATTTTGCTCTGATTTCATTGAATTTGAACGTGGACTTATCATGCTTTACCCGACATATTGGTATTTGCTTTATTGTGTTGATAGGCCTAATGATAATATGGAACGTGATAATCTTAAATCCCCAGTTGTGGATTTTGCATCTATATGTAATAAAACCCCGTCTCATTTTGCGTTAATTCAACGAAGATGGTTCGATATTCTAAGGTTTGTTCTGATTATCCCGAGTTCCGTGATAGACGCCGACAGTTAATGGCAAGACGTGAAACACATGGTTTCGAAGTATGCAGGTGGGTGAAGACATAAGGACTTGTCCCGAATTTTTTCGGAAATTTGCGCTGAGTTCATGTGGATGAAAACTATTGAAAGGTGTTATTGTCGTCATAATAACCTTTTCTTAATCTTGCTTTTAGAAGTTAAACGTGTTGTCAACTCTTTTCAATTTCAGAAAACGTAAATGCTTACACTGGCTAAGAATTGACGGGTGTCATCCGCTCTGTTGGAGAATATTTCCTACAAAACCAGCAGTGTTGTCAGTGTGATTTTCCCAAGAATTAACACCCAAACACCGCTCGTTTAAGTCACTCTTATCTAGTTAAACTCATCTGTTTGTCCATATGTCCGAGATAATTTGACACATATTTACTCACCGCCACCGTTTCTGTAGACAAGGTAGGGCACCCTCCAGATGTCGCTGATACCCAATGACATCCCTAACAATGAAACAATGAAATCCAGTCTTGAAGCCCAAGGAACATTCTCGTTTCCATTAACATTTCCACCCTTGGAAACATCGTAGTTGTAGCTAATGTGTTTAAGATGGTCCGATACAACGTTAGAAACATTACATTTCATATCCTTAGTGTCACTGTCTTCATCGGCCATATTGAAAATGTATATTCAAATGTTTTTACCTCGATGTGGGTGACGACAATAGTGTCATTGATACCAACATGTGTCTTTACGCCATCACAAGGCCTAATTTCTTATCAAAAGGTCAATGCCAATATTTCTCTGATACGAGGCAAAACTGCTCTCAATTACCTAACTGTTTTATAAAAAATTATAGTTGACGTTTCTATCGGTTCAGGTTGTGCGAAACGTCAGTTGCTTTGTTTTTTTTTTTTTTTTTTGGGGGGGGGGGGGGGGTATTTGGCTAAATTGATAGTTTATCTTATATGCCGATTCGGTCGAATGAAAACTATCTTTATACGTTTGAATCACATTATGATAGCTTTAATTCATCTTGACCATTCGGGTCACATGGTGTAATAAAATGCTGTTAAATATATATACAATATTAACCCTATTGTCAAATATGTCATTGATAGATATTGTTGTGGTAAGCAACAAAAAGCACTGAGTATTTCCTACCCTTTCATGTAGAACAATTAACAGTCTCATACCTTCATATTTCAATTTTACAAACAACAAACTTTGATAAATTAAAGACAACTTTTATTGTTAATGTTCAATGAATATTATGACTTCAAAGATGATATTAATGGCACAGTTTCACTTTTTCATTTTCCAAATAAGAAATGATAATCAATAAATACACTTATAAATTACGCACAGAAATATTGACACAACCATTTTTTGATATCAACAATAAACAAGGAATACAGAAAGCCATCATATGGACTTGTTAGCACATATCACAAAGTATATACAACATGTACACAGCA